ATAATATATATATATATATATATATATATATATATATATATATACAAAACACAAAAATAGTTTTGATAATTAATGGTACATCACTCGTGTGCAAATAGAAAGTTAAAATTGAACAGAAAAGTTCTATTTCATTTTTGCAATGTTCGCAATAGTTAATCAGAAATTAATAACTAAAGATATACTTCGGTGCAAGTATAATCTACAAATGATAAAGCTTATAGTGCACACCTCCAAACGTCTTATTGTATTATTTCTAACAACGATGAATGCGCGTAACGGTGGGTGATTGTATCTTGTCACATGCTTGTATTTGTTAATGTACTGGACAGTGAATGGACTCATTTGGCGATCTTTAATCATTAATTTTTTCAGCTGCACGTGAACGTTGTATCAATAAATATGAAACATTCTATATAAATGTATTTATAATTTTCTTTTAATTTTAATGCTTTAAATATAATAGCAGTAATAATTTAAACTTATTTTATCATGCATTATTATTTAGCTATTTTTACAAGTAAAAATAAATAATTTTGCAGTATGTTTCAACGGCATTTTCTTACTTAACAACGTTTCGTATAATACTTTCTGATGAAACATAATTCTAAGGAAGAAATTAAATTTCCTGAAACGGGAGAATTTTGTTTGCATATTAGTGATATGAAAAGGTATAATGTTTTCCAGCAAAAAATAAAAAAACACATTAATACAACAATTCCACAAATTTACTGTAATTGTGATTTTTTTCATTTTTTTAATTCCAGAATTTTTCATTTTTTAATTCCAGAAAAAACTAATCATTTTAATTCACAGCATTTTAAAGAAAATTAAACATTTAGAATCATTTTAAAAGTTTTAGAGAAGATTTTAAGGATAGAAGATTTATTTACATTGTAAGTTGCGCACTTACAAAATTTGTAAGCTATTTTTATTAGTATATAACTACAAAGTATAGAATAAGAAACATGGTGTGAAACATAAAAATGTAGGAACATATAAAAATATAAGGCATATATTTGTATATGTTTTTCAAGAAATTATTTGTATCTAAAAATGAAATTAATATATTTAATTTATTAAGAAATTTTGCTTTTAAAAACACCTATAGTATTATACAATACTTAAATACCAAAATTTTAAACTTTTAATTAAATTAATAAAGAGGTATAAATTGTAGATCAATGTAGAATATTCGCATAATATATTAAAGTATATTAGTATACTAGTATATAGTATACTATATTATAGTATAATATACTAGTATACTAGTATATTAAATTAATATTTTACATAATATGATTTAATAATAGTAAAATTAATATTATATTGACATATATAATTTAAAATTCTATATAAGTAGTAAGAAAAATTAAAGAATAAAATTAATTCTTCGAATAAAAAAAAAAACAAGACTTAAAATTTAGAACATTAATAAGAAAATACTTTATATATTTATTATTAAATGTATGTTGATTTTGAAAAACATATTTTAGTGTAGTCTTTTAGTGAAGTCTTATTTTCAAATATTTCCTCTTATAACACCCTCATAACAGCTTTGCTATGCCTATAGCTTATTATATCATTCTATTTCCTATTTTTTTCTTACAAAACATAAATCTTCTCTTCCCTGAAAATTATGACATGCAAATGTTGCATGAGCGCGTAGAGTTCGTATTTTTAAAACTATTTACGTATTCTAGTGAAACATGTGTTACTTTTCACACACTCTTTCGTGAGATACGCCAGAATAAAATTATTATGCAGCACATGAGGTATGCTATCAGGTGTTGAAACTCGATAAGTCAAAACACCTTGTAATATTTATGAAAACAGCCAGGTGTACAGAATAATAGACAGGTTAACATGAAAGACTTGCCTTTACATCATTTGAAATGCATTTGAATATGCATTAATATTTTTCATATTTTAGGACATATTTCTAGGACATATTATTTATAAAAAAGGATAAAAATTTTAACTTATTTCCTATCCTTATTTCTTACATTTATTTACATTTATTTATGTTTTCTCTAATTCTTTTACGGATATTGCAGGAAATGTTAATTGTTAACTAAATTTAATTTTAATAAACAATGCCCTGCGCTTCTCACATTTATTCTAGGTTTTATGATATTTTTATCTGTATATATTTTTCTGCTTCGCGTGAGGCGCCTCACGCGAAGCAGGAAAAAGTAAGGAAATATATACACTTATGATAACTCCCCTTTTTCTATACCCTTTCATCGTAGTATTGCTGCAAATCTTTGAAGCATTCATTACGTTTCATAGAACACAATACGTGAAAAAATTTTTATTTCTCATATCAACTTGCAACTATAGTTCCGCAGCACAGACAGTCGTGCGAGGAAAGGTGATGCTAAAGGAGTGCGTCATGAAGTTAAATTTGATTCTAAATTGATATTGATTCTAAACTGGTTGTTGTCAAAAAATACGACAAAGTTTAAAATATTCTGTGTGATGCTATATCATTATTTGTGCAGTATTTTGGTGATCGACTCAAAGGTACGTTTCATATAGTATATTATATTATCTCAAATCATCTTGATAATTCTATTTTCTTAACGAAGATCATTCTTCTAATAAAGATATTCTTCGCCTCATAACGTCATTTTTCATAAATTTAATTACGTATAAGTAATTAATATTTATTTATATAACATAAAAAATTTAAATATGATTAAATGTTGTAATTATTAGTTATATCAATTATTAGTTATATCAATAATAATTTAACTATTTGCAGAATGTTACTTGCAAAATGGAATATTTTTTCACTTTTATAAAATTTTTTGAAGAAATCAATCAAAATCAATCAAATCGTTATTCAACTATATATTAACAAACATATTATATTCCATGGCACATACAGTTTAATAATAATGACACAAAAATTTAAGACATTTATTTATATTTATATCTTTCTTTATTAGTAAATATTAGATAACATATCATATAATAAAAATATTTCTTAAATTGATTATATAAATTGTCTTTTTTAACCTTTCCAAAATTGATTCGACAAGAAATCAAATTAATTTTGTCATGTTACAAATTGCATCTTTCCTTTCTTTTATGTAAATAATATAACTTAAAGAAATATACATATCTTTAATCCTAGAAATTATCATAAAATATAATAAATACAAATTTTTTTGTTATGTAATAACAAAACTTAATGTATATAACACTAATTATTATAGAATACACAAGGTGTTTGAATAATGGTACACCACTTGTGTGCAGATAAAACAGAAATCAAATTGAGCAAAAAAGTTCTTTACTATTTTGCGATTTTTGCAATTAGTAATAAATTATCAATTATTAAAAATTGCTGAATAAATGCATATCTGCCCACTGGCAAATGACAAACACGCAGCGATATGTGACCGCCTAACGCGTTCGTGGTAGAAGCGCTATAAAATGTTTGAAAGTGTGCACTATAAGCAGATGCTCCGTCATTTGTAGCCTTCACGTTTAATAAATAATCTCACCACATCTAAATATCTACCAATCGAAAACGCATATTGGACGATTGCACTTCGCTGCGCGCTTGCATTGGCCGATGGGCCGAGCAGACATGCGCTCATTCGATGATCTTTAATAATTAATAATTCTATTAACTGCAAAAATCCGCAAAATAGTAGAAAATTTTTTTGCTCAGTTTGACTCTCTTTATCCATATACAAACGATATATACTGTTAGGAATCCGACACTCTATGTACAATACACAAATTGTACAATACACAAATTGTTGTAAAATGTATAAATTGAGATTTACTTTAACATAATATTTATGTTTTAATGTAATATAAAAATTTCTTTTTATATTTTGCCACATATTTTAAAATTATTACTTAAACAAAAATTAAACACGCTGTCAATAGTACTTTAATTAAACTGATGTTACCTTTAATTAAACTGTTATGACATAATCATATTATAAATTAATGTAAAGTCTCTTAAAGTAGACTTAATGACTTTATTCTAATGAATTGATAAAGTAATTGGCAAAACAGCTGCCATAAATACATGCTTTTCTTAAGTCCGTTAAATTAATTAATAATTAATAAAATAACACGCGATATGATTTGTGTGTTTATAACTTGTAGATATGATTTTCCGATAGTTTAGTGTCAATTTCTTATGAGAAGCATATGTTATGTACATATTTGTTTGTGTAATATTTTCGCTTTAACAATAATTTACAAATATACTACTATAAATAAGATCGCGATATTTTTATTGTGCAATTTAATATTTGAAATGAGCATTTTTATGAATTACAATAAATTAATATACGGAATACGTGTGTGGGGGAGATTTACTACTACTTGGCCATTAAATTCTAAAGTTGGAAAAGTTAAGATTTTTCTCTATAAATTTTTTTGGTGTATTTACACAGTGAATATGATATGCCAGTGTTATCTACTCGCTAACAGAATATTTCCTTTCAATCGAAAAAACTTCATCGATACAATGAGAACGTTAGTGGAGATGACATATTCTTTAGAAACGACATTTAATCTTCTTTATTGCAGAATACGGGAAAAACAATTGCAGGTTAATACTCTATAAAATTTAATTATTAATTAATTTATTTATAGCAAACTAAAATTTAAAGAAAAATAATAATAATATATTTTGCTATATTAAGGAAAAATAAAATAAAATAAAATTTTTGAATTTTATATTGTATTTTTAATTATTTTTTTCTTTAAAATAAAAAAAGACTTTTTATACAAATATTCATATTGTCATATTATATCGTAAATAATACATTTTATAATATAATGTTTGTGCAATATTTAATTAATTTATTCTTTTCTCTTATATTTCTTGATTTATATATATTTATTTATATAAAACTTTACACTAAAAAGCTTACTGAATTTATTAAAACATGTTATATACTATATATTATGATATAAAAATGACTTCGATGGCTTCGCAGGAATTATTGTTTGACATAGACCAATGCATTAAAGTATGGATGCCGTACGAAAAAACTATGAGAAGAAAATTTATGTATAACACATGTGCAATATGCCTTTCTTTAATAATAATATATATTATTTGTGCATGGTTATTCATTCTTTCGCCAGTAATGATAGATAGAATTTTACCACTCAATGTTATATATCCTTTTTCACTATCCAAATTTTGGGTTTATTGTGTGGCTTATGCAATAAATGTATTTTCCATTCTATCATGTTCAATAATTATAATTGTCGACATAATGGTAATCGCTACATTGTGGCAAGCTGTCTTTAAATTCAGCTTGCTAGGTATGCAAATACGTTCTGCAGTCACTGTCGATAAACTTCGAGCCTGCATCATAATACATCAAAATACATTTGAGTACGTTACTTTACAATATATCTTTTTAAAAATGTTTTGTTTAGAACAATTACAGAATATCTTACTTAAGCACTTAAAATATCATTACATAAAAAGATTGATTCAGAGAAATACATTTTGTCTATAAAATCTCTCCTTCTTCCTCTCTCAAACTAATTTATTTTTATATATAAGTGTGATTAATTTATTTTTATGTAGGTATCTCCTTTTTATATAGATATAAATCAATTACTCGACAAATACATATCGGTTGGCTATCGTGGTCATTCTGTAAATAATATTATTAATATGAAAACTGAAATTTTGATTAAGAACTGATATTTTAATAATTTTAAATTAAAAATATTTTATATTTTAAATAAAATAAATTGTTTTCTAACACATTTTTCCATTAAAATGAAAATGTTTTAAGTGGTTAAGTTAAGCATTTGGATACTGCAAACAAAAATGAATATTTTATATTATCATATTATTTTTCATGATCCTTCAATTTAGTTACGTACGAGGAATTGATTGTACTTTCAGTCATATAATCTTTAAATTGACAATTGTTGTTTCCATATACATAATTAGTAGTGGTCTGTTGATTCTAAATGTGAGTATTCAATATATTCGAATAAATACTGTCA